CAAGCTCGGAAAATGGACAAGAACCAGAGCCAGCTGTCTCTTTGACATAGAAGCCTGCCACAGGTACTTAAACATCGCACTGTGGTGCAGGGATCCTTTCAAATTAGGGGGTCTCATCTGTTTGGGGCATGTCAGCTTAAAACTTGAAGAGGTGGCTTTAGGATGCTTAGCTACATCGAACATGGAATACCTTTCCAAATTCAGACTGGAAGCCCCATCACCTAAGGCCATGGTCACGAGAACCGCGCTACGTAATCTGAGTATGCAGAAGGGGTTCAATGACAAATTTTGTTTCGGTGATATTACTGTTCACTTCAAATATCTGAAAGAAGGAGAGCCAGACCACCATGTAGTTACTAACTTAGAGAAAGAAAAAGAACTCCATTTGGTCGAAGAGGTTTCTGCCCTTCCTAAAGAGGAGCACTTTGTTGGACAGATGGGTTTAACAGAAAATAAACATAGTTTCCAGGATACTCAGTTCCAGAACCCAACTTGGTGTGATTACTGTAAGAAAAAAGTTTGGACTAAAGCTGCTTCCCAGTGTATGTTCTGTGCTTATGTTTGCCATAAAAAATGTCAGGAAAAGTGTCTAGCCGAGACTCCTCTTTGTGGAGCAACTGATCAACGGATAGACCGGGCCCTGAAAAATCTCAGGCTGGAAGGACAAGAAGCCCTCTTAGGCCTGCCCCCTCGTGTTGATGCTGAAGCTGGGAAGTCAGTCAACAGAATGACAGGTTTGACAAGACATATTATCAATACGAGCTCTCGTTTGTTAAATCTGCGTCAAGTCTCTAAAACTCGCCTTTCTGAGCCAGGGACTGATCTAGTAGAACCTTCACCAAAACACACACCCAACACATCAGACAACGAAGGCAGTGACACAGAGATCTGTGGCCCAAACAGCCCTTCTAAACAGGGCAACAACACAGGAATAAAATTAGTGAGAAAGGAGGGTGGTCTGGATGACAGCGTTTTCATTGCAGTTAAAGAAATTGGTCGTGATCTGTACAGGGGGTTGCCTACAGAGGAGAGGATCCAGAAACTAGAGTTCATGCTAGATAAACTGCAGAATGAAATTGATCAGGAGTTGGAACATAATAATTCCCTTGTTAGAGAAGAAAAAGAGACAACCGATACGAGGAAAAAATCACTTCTTTCTGCTGCTTTGGCTAAATCAGGTGAAAGACTGCAAGCTCTAACACTTCTTATGATCCACTACAGAGCAGGCATTGAAGATATTGAATCTTTAGAAAGTCTGTCCTTAGACCAGCACTCCAAAAAAATAAGCAAGTACACAGATGATACAGAAGAAGACCTTGATAGTGAAATAACCCAACTAATAGACTCTCAGCCATTCAGTAGCATATCAGATGACTTATTTGGCCCATCTGAGTCTGTGTAACAGTCTGTTTAAACTTTCTAGTGATTGAGGAAAAGTTGCATCTAAAGTACCACAGATACAACCACATTTAAACCCTCTTATTATGCACTTTGGCCTGCTTCTTCACAGTTATTTGCTTGTGTAAGAACTAGAGTGGAAAAGGTGGTTTTCCAGCAAAAACATGATCAGCTCACTAAATTGGTTGTTTCAGATTGCATTTATAGCTATGCTTTTTGGGTTTATACTGGGAATTTATTTTTACTAATTTATTTTTAACTTTTTCTAATTATGTAATTATGTAAGCTGACTTTTTGTGTTTATGTAGGTGTGATGTCTCATTGTGGTTTTTTTTCCTTCCTCTTCCTAGTTTTTGAATTAGTGTTAAATAGGATACTGTCCAGATTCTTGAAATATTTTCATTTCCATCACAGTTATAACAACAAATTTGCTGCATGCCCAAATTGACAACAGCAATCATTGAGGGAACAGGTTTTGAATCGTACTTTGTGTTATGAAGTTTGTCATATCTACTTGCTTGAGATTTTTGTTATTTTGGCGTTTGGGGGAGTGCTTTTTGTTTTGATTTTGCCAAATGTAACATGAAAGCCGCAGCTTTAGTTAGTTATGCTGATTTAGTAAAAAAAAAAAAAAGTTTTACATATATTGCTTGTTTTTTATGCTTTTGTGAAATTTTTTTCTAAAGCTTATGTGCAGTTTAAGTATAGTGAGAATATAGTGATTAATTTGAAGAGCTTGCATTGAAAAACAAAATGCAACAGGGAATAAATACAGAATGCAGTTGGTCAAGAATTTTGAGAGGATGACCAGATTACTAAAACAAACAAACAAAAAACAGTAACCAGCAGGATTTTGAAATATAATCTTTCAAAATGTTGACACTTGCCTTTCAAATGGAAGTACTAAACATTTATGATTATTTTTCATCTTCAGTTCTCCCATAGGAAATAAAGCATGTAGATATTTGAAGTTTCAGAGGACTGTTCTTAAAATGCCCCTGTTGATATCTGGTTTGGCTGTTTTGTTTTAGAAAAATAGTCATGCATGAGAATGCTGTAAGGGAGAGGAATCATGCAGAATAGATTTATTGCTTTGTCTGACATCCTACAGGCTTATCCTATGTATCATCCTACAGGCTGATCATTCTGAATGCTTCTGTAGTTCAGACTGTCTTATTAAAAAAAGAAAATTACACAGCGTCAATACATAGGAATTGGAACCATTTCTCTTAAAATGAAGGTCTAGTCTGATACTCAGGCCATCGTGTGGATCCCAGTAACACACGACTGAGGGAAAACATGTGAGCGTGACCTCTGTTGGTATACCATAAAAGTTTTGGCCTTTTATATGTCTATAAAATAGATATGTACATGTTTTTCCCTTTTGTAGGTAACTACTATGATAATTGCTATATAGTGAAACTGACATGAATTTAAAACTAGATGGTGGCAGTTTTTATGGCTGGCAGGAAAAGGCATAGTATAATAGTAAGGATTCTGGCCCAGGTCTATAACCCAGGACTCCATACAAGAGTTTAAGTTCAAGCTCTTCTGTTAGCCATTAGTGAACTGTGTAACCATAGGCAAGCCACGAAAGGGCTCCATGCTGCAGGCTCCCCAGCTGTAAAGTAGGAATAAACAAAATTTATTCTACCTCACAGGATTGTTGTGAGGAAAACAACAGCATAACTGCAAAAGTTTTCTGAACAGTAACAAGCTATTGAAATAAAAGGGTTATATGGATGATAAAAACATTTTTATGGGTAGAAAAGCCATTCCACTTTTAAAATCAATAGTTCTCATTCTTGCTATTTTATTATTAAGTAAAATATTAGGAAACTAAATACCTTTCTTGGCCAAGTTTATAACAAAAATATATCTGTGTATACCCCCCATTTTTGTTTAAACATGCTTGCATTTCAACACTGCTGTAGAAGTCTTTATACACCAAATTCACTCAAAGCTAAAATGTTGTTCTGTAACAGTAGCTTGAAACAATCTTCCCAATGTAATAACCAACTGTCATCTTATCATAAAAAATCACTTACCACTGACAACCTGGAAGGCAGAGTAAGTGGCTGGTGGTTTTGGATTATACCATGAAGTTTTAGTGACATCCAAGCATGCTGCTGAAACTGATGCATTTGAAAGAGCTGTAGAAATAATGCAAAACTTTGGTTTCATAAAAATCTACTCATGTTTTAAAAGTATTTAACTCTGTAGAACCACAATTATGGAAAGCTCAGTAATGCTGCTAATGATATTTGTAAAATGTACCTTCAATGTAGTGCAATATTTTTCTATTTACTGGGAGAGGCAGTAGAGGCATCACAGTTGTAGTTTCGTGCAAGGGGGGCGGGCGGTGGGACACGCCAATAGCCTAAGGAATAGTAAGGTATAAGGCTTCAGTGAAAACAGTTGTATTATATCACATTCCTGATGTAATCTTTCTGCCATGCTATGTTATCAATAGCTAAAAAATAATATTAAATAAAAACTACCACAGAAAACAAGAATATCTTCATTTGATGTCATCTAAAAAAGGTGACTGCTGCATCTCTATGGAATTATTGCCTGGTATAATTGGGCCATGAAGATAAGTTTAACAAAGTCCGCTTTTGCTAAACAAAATTGCTATTCTGAAAATTGTCTAAAAGCATTAAATTTTGGTTTTACTATTTTTTTATGCTGTGACAATCAGATTTATGGATTTGCCTCTGCTATCTAATAGTAATTGGACTAAAGTATATTTGCTACATTGGTATTTAGATGAATTATTAGGTTAGACAGTCAAGCTGAGCAATATTTTAGCATTTAGAATCAATTCATAGGCTACATTTCTTAATATCAGACCTTACATTCTTCAGTATCAGAACTAGTTAAAATATTATGTGGCCATTTTATGAATTTAAGAGGAGAAAACACATGCTAAAAATTTGAAGGTACTGTCAATTCTAAATTTAAGTATTGTTGAATTTTTTGAAAGGCAGTTTGAAGGTATTTGGCTCTTACTAATAGTAAGATAATAAAATCTCAAGTCCCCTAAAAGTGAATAAATTTAAAATCACTTTAATTTTGAAATGTATTGAGTTTATTTCTAAATTGAGACATAACAGCTTTCCTTTAAAAACAGGGTTGGGGGAGGTTCCCTTAAGCCTTTTTAAGCCATGAATCCATTTTAAGATCTGTTTAAAACCATGGATTCTCACCCCTGAAAGGTGCACACATGCGCACCCTAAGTTTTATGGAACTTCCAGGGGCCGTGGACCTACTGTGTCAAGTGGCTGCATATCATAGTTATTTTCATCAGATATAGTTATCTGTTCGTAGCCATCAGGAAAACAATACAACTTTAGAGATGCAAGGATAACTTACTGGTTGGTTCCACACTGACACCATGTGGCTAGTTACATACTTCAAATTAAAACAAATTTTGCAAAGCCAAAAAGTATGGTTCAAACTAGTCTGGAGTAGATTTTACCTGCTGCCTGCAAGCAAAGAAGAATAGTTTTTAATTGAATACCCACAGTTAAAACAGTACCTTCTTACATATTTTATTCCAATGATAATATCTGGTTAACAAAGGAATACAACAGGCACAGTAGTGTTCAGAAGATTTATTAAGTAAACTAGCTAAAACATGACGTAGGTGGATACACTTAGCAGTCAAAAGAAAGAATTGAATATTCATCACTACCTCATTAAGCTTTTTGTATCTGTTTTGCCAGGTACAAACATAAAAAACACCTCTGCTCAAAAAATAAATGTTCAGAGAGCTGTGTGTTCTTTGTTCTGATACACACATAAAAAAAAAAAAAAAAAGCTTTTCTTTCCATAGTCTTGCCAATCCCAGAATACTGGTCATATAAAAGACCTTACAATTTTTTTCTCCTTCAGATACAACTGATACCTTTTGCTCCCAAAACAGTTCTGAAAAATATGTATCTTTTATATGATCTCTTGGGATCACCAGCAGACATGGCTGCCAGTCATTCTTGAAGAGACTGAAACCTTGCAGGCAAAAATAAAAGAGGGATAAGTTACATGGTATTGGGAGTGAGGAGAACCACAAACCCCGCCAGAGAATTGATTTGCAGCACGTTCTTTTTTAAGGCTCTCCCCTCCGGAAGTAGAGAGCAGTCCTGCCTTTTTACTTTAGCCACAGAAGCGCCTCCAGCAAAGCAGAGTCCTTGTGTAAGTCGCCCAACGCAAACACGAGTAGGACGCTTGTTTGCTTCCAACACATGCACTTGAAAACCAGACTTCAGATCAAAGCCCCACAAAAAAAGCTTCATAAAGAAAATGGGAAGTATTAGCTACTTTCTTAGAGAATTATAAGGTTGAGGGGTCCTTCCAAGTTAACAGGAGCACAATTTTAGCTTAACAAAGAACTGACATTAAGTAGTTTTTGTTTACGATTACAGAACTACAGAATGAACAAGTGTTATTTGAGACATTCCACACTATCTTCATATCTCATACAAAACTCGATGTAAACTAACAATGTTCACTAACACAGTACTTGCTATCACATCGAAAAGGCACATCAATGTCATCATGCTTAGAAAAACTACATCACACAGCACTAGGTGATACAGTATTACATAGACATTTTTAGATGTTTGGGTTTTTTCCTGCCTGTGAAAGGGGGTGTGCCCTGACCACCCCATTATTTTTACCTGTTTTCCTAACACTATTCAAGACAATTTCATTCCTTCTTCATCTTCATGTAAAATTTGTTTTCACATTGATGTGAACAACGTTCAGAAGTCTAAAAAAATAATAGTTTCAAACAACTCAAAATTAGTAGATCCCTAGAAAACACTTGGATGACTTCCAGCTCAAAGATAATTATAGTCTGATTTTTTCACATCACAGCAGCTATTAGCCTTTTAAATTTCTTTTCTAAAACCTGAGCTAGGTGTTGATATATCTCATCATGCTTAAACAACCCTGACAGTATAAGTAAGGTGTATCTATCCTCAATTTTCTGTCATCTGGTAAGACAAGTATATATCTGAAAGGGAAAGCTTCTAGTTGTTTATAACTATACTTTTGGGTGCTTTTCTCTACTTTCAGAACATTTACTATTTTACCCTTATTGGCTTTTATGTTTGTTGCCAACCACATGACATGTAAACATATAATTTACAACCATCTGTTTCCAGGTAGGTGATTACATAGAAAACTAATGCCTGCTGAGATTCATGGATAAATCCGAAAGATGACTGGCTCAAGTTCTTGTCTTCTGCATCTGAGAAAACTAGCTTTTAACTCATGAATATACTGACAGTACAGTTGACCCTTGAACAACACGGTTTGAACTGCACGGGTCCACTTATATGCAGAATTTTTTCAATAAATACAGACTGTAGTACTACATGGTCTGTGGTTGATTGAATCCAGAGATATGAAACCATGGATACGAAGGGCTGGCTGTAAAGTTGTATGCAGGTTTTCGACTGCATGGGTTGTCGGCATCCCCAAACCCTGTGTTGTTCAAGGTCAACTGTAATTACAAGTTCAGTATCTCAACATTCAGTGTCACTATATAATATATGCCATCTTACTTGATTCTGTTTTTCAGACTTCCTTCTAGTTCCTCATTATTGGAAGTGTCTCGGAGATAATGCGTGCTTTAAACACTCATTACCAATATTCAGAAAATATATAAGACTTTTTTGCCCAGGTGTTCGTGAATGTAAGTTAAAAAATTATATTGGATTTGGATTCAAATATTTATAGATTTACACTATTTCGTCAAAATATATTGTATAATATTTAATAAAATCAAATACATAAAATAAAGTTTTCAACACTATTTATACAAACCCCTAGAAAAGCTGCTTTTTCTTTATAAGGCTGTTGGCAATCGATCATAACCATGGAAAAGAAAACCTTTGGTTGTTTTACTCTTTCACCAGGGATGAGTGGTATCACTAAGACAGTTCTGGATGAGTCATTTCACTGGAAACACTGTTTTATACAATTAGATACTTGGATGACTTCTGAGGGTCTCAGTCACTTTCAGATTCTTCATCCTCACCTATCGGATACGACTGGATATTATTCTGAGTATACATTTTTGTTTTAATGGGGCAGTTGTGATCCATGAGGATAGCCTAAAAGAGAGCAAAGCACAGATATTAACTTACTGTTTCATAAAGAGAAGATAGTCTTACCCTGTTTCTAAGGATTAGTAGTTTGAAAACTACATATAGTACCACCCACTATCAACCAACCAGTAATTTGGTGCAACTGCCAGGTGCCTTCCCTAGAAGGCCTGGCATTCTAAACTGAAAATTCCAGGCAATAGGAAGCAGCAGCAGCAGTCTGCAGTATTCCCATTATACCTGCCAGGAGCTGTAAGTCAATTTGGAGGAAACTGTAAGCTATGAAGAAAGAGATATGCAGGTTAGGTTTAGGTTTTACTTAGAATCTTTGAATTAGGGTGGGGGGATCCTGGAGGTCACCCAATGCAACTTCACAGTGGTAACACTTAATAAGGAGGTCCTCCCTCCTTAATGAGGCAAGCTCCCGTGTTAAAAACATCCCTGAGGCTAGACTAAAACCTGTCTCCATGTTTCTATTTGTGGATCAAGTTCTGATTCCAGCCGTCTTCACAGCCTGCCCTTACAATATTTTAAGACCACGGCCATGCCCTTAGATTTCCCTAGACTAAGCGTCACAGGGCCCTTATCTTTTTAAAAATGGCATTTCAGAAGGACCTCTCCCCAAATCCTGGCTGGCCTCCTTTTGCTCAAGTGTATTTTAAAAAATACATTCCTGGGCTTCCCTGGTGGCGCAGTGGTTGAGAGTCCGCCTGCCGATGCAGGGTACACGGGTTCGTACCCCAGTCCGGGAAGAGCCCACATGCCGCGGAGCGGCTGGACCCGTGAGCCATGGCCGCTGAGCCTGCGCGTCCGGAGCCTGTGCTCCGCAACGGGAGAGGCCACAACAGTGAGAGGCCCGCATACCGCAAAAAAAAAAAGAAAAAAATACATTCCTCTGATGTACATAAAAATCTTGTGCACTCCCTTATTGTTACTGAAAACTTTCTTAAAGGTCAACTGATCCTCAACTGATAAACATCCTCAGTTGATGCGCACTGTAGTCATCAATCCTCACGAAAGTGTACAGACCAAGCACGTAGTCTGAGTGTACAGCTGGGGTTTATCATGCCAGGACTGTGCTAAGCATTTTCAATGCAATACCTCAACTTCACAATAACCCTATGTGGTAGCTTGATAACCCTCCGTGTAGGCGCAAAGGTTAAAGAACTTGACCAAGGGATGTACAGCTAAATGGGGCAGATACGAGCCCAGGCAGCCTATGCCAAAGTCAGCTCTGGCGATGCCCCACAGGACAGCAGGAGTGTAGAGCACAACATCAGCTGCAACTGAAATGAATTCTCTCATCAAGAACGTCTTTCAGAGTCTTCCTCCACGTAAACTATTCCCTCCAGTGCCTTTCTGTGCAGTTTGAAAATCTAAATGGCAACAGTTATCTGGATTAAAATTTATCTTCTGTTGGCCTATTGCAACCTATCTTGGCGCTTGTTAGCTACACCCAGTTCTTGTCCCACAGATCTGATAAGCTGCTATGTCTCCACTCAAGTGCTTAACCCATTTATCATTTCCCAAGAAATGCTAAAATGGTCTGCTGTGTGGCATGTTAAGATAAGGACTTCCGGGGCTTCCCTGGTGGCCCAGTGGTTGGGAGTCTGCCTGCCGGTGCAGGGGACGCGGGTTCGTGCCCCAGTCCGGGAGGACCCCACATGCCGCGGAGCGGCTGGGCCCGTGAGCCATGGCCGCTGTGCCTGTGCGTCCGGAGCCTGTGCTCTGCAACGGGAGAGGCCGCAACGGTGAGAGGCCCGCGTACCGCAAAAAATAAATAAATAAATAAGGCCTTCCAGGACCCTCTGAGTTAGGCTGCCAGCTCAAATTGTCAGCTGCAAATTTAACTCTATTTTTTTGATTGTGCTTCTTGCCAAGTGAATTGATACATGGACTTCATAAAGAGCTCAATTTCTAAAAATAAGTAATTGAGGCAACAGACACTGTATACCAGGACCATTCTCCCCACGTGGGTGTGTGCTCGTAACACAAAAGGTCTAGCCACCAAAGAGCTCGATGTCTTGCCTCTCTGGATTAGTGATCCTCAAAGAAATGTGCCTAAGAATCACTTGAGGGGGCAGGTTAAAAATGAAATCCCCCGTCCCTACCCTCACATGAGGGTGAGAAACGCGCTGCGAGAAACACCGCCCGACTTACGTGGCATTTTCTAGGGCACAGTAGGGTCACATGGCTGACAGCAGCTTACTGGGCACCTACCAGGTGTGTGTGTCAGTGCCCTTAAGGTCCTCTACCAGCAACTTAGGTACCTCACTGCACACCAGTGACAGGTTCCATAGGGTTTGCAGGCGGAGTGCTCACTGTGGGTTAAGTGCTCAGGGAAAGCAATGTGGAAGCGATGGGGGTGGACTTGAAGCTTGAATGATGGAAAGGATTTTCACAGCGAGGGAGTTGGGAATGAGCGTGGCAGAGGTTATTTACCAAACGAGACATTAAGTAAAACAGCCTGCCTCCCCACCAACCCCCCCACCCCCTATCTGATGATGAGGCACAGGGAGATGTTCACGGGAAAGCCCAACCGGGGCCAGACTGCAGGGCCCCGGATGCCAGGCAGGGGCCTTGACCCCAGGCCCACAGGCGGCGAAGCAGGCTTGGGAAGGACGGCCATCATTCTACCTTATCACAACTGCCTTCCGTCCCTTGGTTGTCCACCGTTATACCTAACGGTATGTACATGTAGACGTAAGGACCTCTGGAACCTAGCACTGGGTATGTAATACAGACTCAATTAAAAAACTGCATTGCAAGGGAAGTTCAGTCAGACCAGTTATCTGGCATCATATAGACTTAAATAGAATTTATCAATTAACCAAACTGCATTTGTTGATACTACCTATATCAGGTTAAGAAGTTTTCTTTCTTAAAAGATCATCTGTTGCTTTTAAAACCTAGCTTACTGGCTTCTGAACCTCTTTTGAAAGATTTATTGTGCCATAGTTGTTTTTTTAAGTTGTACATGATTAAGCCAGATGGCATCTAATAGCCCAAAAGTGCCACGAAAAGAGGGGCATGAACAAGATCAAGTGGGTAAGTCAAGTGCATAGGGGATGCGTGCAGAGTGGCCTGGGGAGCAGCCTGGTAATCAGAGTGGTGCTCCGTGCACTGCTGTGTGGAAAAAGGTGTGTTTGACTCTGGACTGAAGAAAAAGTAAAAAAAAAAAAAAAAGGGGGGGGGGGGGGGGCATTTTCATCTGAATTCAGGGCAATGCATGGTTCCTGAGAGTTGAGCCCTGGTCCTACCAAATGCCTGGTTTCATATCAGACACAGGAGAGTCAGAATTTCCAAACTGGTAAAAACATGCTGGACCAAGTGAAGTGTAAAAATAACACAAATACAAAGCTGGGACAGTGAAAAAGTAAAAGCATTAGGGCTTCCCTGGTGGCGCAGTGGTTGAGAGTCCGCCTGCCAATGCAGGGGACACAGGTTCGTGCCCCGGTCCAGGAAGAGCCCACATGCCGCGGAGCGGCTGGACCTGTGAGCCATGGCCACTAAGCCTGCGCGTCCAGAGCCTGTGCTCCGCAACGGGAGAGGCCGCAGCAGTGAGAGGCCCACGTACCGC